GAACTCATATAATAAGCTAACCTCATATTTTGGCAAAACAAAATAAAAATAAAATACTAAATATATTAGTATATTAAAACAATTTTAAAAATAAAATAAAAAAACATTTAAAATTATTAAAATATTATTTGCACGAGTCTTAACTTTCAAACTATGAGTCTTAAGTTTCAAAGGTTTTCTAATTATTTAAAAAAAATTAAATTTAGGTTGATTTTTTATTAGATCCTCTAAATTTTTTTAAAAAATTTGTAAGTATGAATATAGTCATTCTACCCCTCTCTTCACTTCTTAGAAATTTCTCAAAATATGAATGTCAACATAGCTTCCTCTCATCTTTTTTTTTTTTTAATAAAATATTAATAAGTTATTTTCCATCTTATTTTTCATGATATAACCAAAAATTAAAATATATTTTTTAATTTATTTTTTATTATACTATCAAATATAAAAAATAATTTATTTTTTAAAAACTTAATTTTTTAAAATGTTATTTTTCAGTAAACACATAACATCTAAGTTTAGAAAGAAATCAAAGATGTGGAAACTTCTACTCTTTTAATTGTCTTAAAAAAGGAAAATGAAATGAGTAAACAGAATCATAGTTTAGTCCTTCTTCTTTAATTAATGTGGTCATTAATTTTTGTAATTTAATTTTTAGTGCCGTGCGAGAAATGCTACCATCCTACAATGACAGTATCTCAATGCCAGAGATTAATCATTATTCGTTAATTTTTAAGATGTATAATAGAAAGGTAACGATTTTTCGGTTCCTCAGCTTTAAATGACAAGAGAGGTTTATTACAGCGTATAGTATTGCAGTAATAATTATTTTTTAAAATAATTTTTATTTAAAAATATATTTAAATAATATATATTTTTTAAAAACAATTAATTTTTACATCAACACGTTAAATTAATACAAAGTTATTAAAAAACTTAATTTAAAATAAAAAAAATTATTTTTTTACAAAAAAACATAGCTAAGCAGGGTATACAGCTATTACAAAATTACCAACTATGCAATAAAAAGATTGACATCTTCTTAAATTCTTATGATTTATTCGTTGAATAAAAACTTAATGATTAAATTTCAAACATAACCAGTCATGGTTTTAAGGGAATATGAGAAAATTCAAATTCATAAAACTTGAAAATTGATTATTAATTATTTCTTTCATTTATTAGTTAAACTAATTTGGGAAAAACCCTCTAATTGCATCCCATGTTCTCAGAAATTCATCAAATACGCCCTTGTGTTTTCGATTAGATCAATTCAACAAGTTTGATTTAAATTTCGGTAAATTGAGTGTAATTTTTCAAAATCAATGATTTTTATGTACAATTTAAATAAAAGAAATAATATTTTCATAAATTATAGTACCTATGTGAAGTATCAATATTAACAAAATAAATTGAGTGTAATTTTTCAAAATCAATGATTTTTATGTTCAATTTAAATAAAAGAAATAATATTTTCATGAATTACAGTACCTATGTCAAGTATTAATATTAACAAGATATTTAAAAAAACACAAATAAAAGTAAAAATCAATATCAATGTTATATGTGGATCAATTAAAAATTGGGTTTATTTCCGGATCCTAGAGAGGAGAAAATTATGATGGTGGTCATGCTTAGTTGGTGATAACTATAACTATGGTAATATTTTAAATTATGATAATTATTGTTTTTTAAATTATTTTTTGCTTGAAAATATATTTAAATAATATATTTTTTATTTTTAAAATTTATTTTTAATATAATAGATCAAAATGATTCAAAATCATAAAAAAAAATAATTTAAAGAAAAAAAATTAAAAAACACTTCCTAAACACCAAAAAACAAATACTCTAATATAACCAGGATGATAAGTCACTATTATTATTTATTTTTTTATTATAATTCTACATGTGGGTCTCACAATATAAGAAAATATTATTTTTTATTCGAGTAGCCTAAAAAATTATTGATTTTGATAAATTGTGATTGAAATGAAATTGAAAACACAAGCATTGAATTGAACTAATAGAACACATGGGGACTTATTTGATGAATTTATAAAAATAGAGGGTGCAACTAAAGTGGATTTTGCCAACTAAGTTGCAGCTGCATTAATCATTGAATGGAAGATCAATCGTAAAAGTAAGCCAGCCAAATCTATCTAATCTCATTAATTAAGCTCATTTTTAATCTCCTATCGGTGAGTGGGATTTGTCTTGATTCAATTGTGGAATAGCCAGCTCATTCCAACGAAGTCCCACCCCACATTTTATCTCATAAAAGCCATGCCAATCCTCTCTGCCCGCACACCACCACCAAAGCCTCCACAATGGCTACCACTCCCCTGTCTTTCTTTCTCCTTTCACTCCTCCTCTCCCTCTCCCTCAATGCCCAAGCTCAAACCCCGACAGCACCCGCCCCGATGCCCTCCGGTCCGGTTAACTTCACCGCAGTTCTTGTAAAGGGTGGACAGTTCGCCACACTCATTCGCCTTCTGAACAAGACTCAAACTTTCAACCAAATTGAGAATCAGCTTAACAGCTCTTCTGAGGGCATGACTATCTTTGCCCCAATCAGCTGGTGGAAGGAATGTAGCATTGGGATTGGTTGTTGGGCTCGGTTTGATTTGCATGGGAATTCTTTCTTGATCAAATGTTAATTTGAAGGTGTTTTCACATTTTTTTTCCCACTTTTTCTTTGTAATTTTCACTTTAAAAGAAGGAGCTAATTGGAGTCTTCCTTGTACGTTTACATTCTTGTCAATGTCTTGTATTTCTCCATTGATTTACTTCTTTTGTTTTCAATTTGATTAATTTTTGTTTTTGTTTTTTAACGGTGAATATTTGGGTTAATTTATGCATATTTTAATTAATTCTCTAAAATCTTCAAATTAATAATTATATAAATTTCTAATAACATTAAGATTTGTGATATTCAAATTAGAGTGAAACAGATGACATTAATTGCTTATCTAAATATTATACATTATATATATGGAGCTGATTCACATGCATGTGTAACATGAATACAATAAAATTGATAAGAAGAGATGCAGATTATAAAAGTATGAACTCAGAATAAAAACATGGCCAGCTCATTTTATTTAACTCGTGCGTTCTAACCTGACTAGCAAATCTTTACCATTTTCTTATCCATTTTTAAGAAGAATAACTTCAAGATGCGTGTTAAAAGTGAGCCATGTCGAGCTATCATTCCTAAATCTTTAGGTCAACTTCAGCTCTTCAATGTCCTGCTGGTGGTTCACATATGATAGTCACGCATACGGAAATGAAATTCTTCACTAGCCAATTGTTAGTATAGAAAGGATACCTGCATAGAAAAAGTGGCGTGCATAGGAAAAATATGTATGAAAATGTAATGATGTGAGTCCATGGGAACCAAAACAATACATAGAAAAACACGTCGAGTACAGTTTTGGGTGAAACTTTCGCTGAAAATTCTCATGATTTAGGCCTAGCCCAGATAGTTAGAGAATATGTTTTTGGTGGAGAGTTGCTGAAGACTTGGGGGAACCGAAGTTCATGTGGGAGGGAGATTAATTGTTGAACATTAAACCTTGTCACCTAGATACACATAGTACCGAGTAGAACAATTAGTCTACGGATAGCATCAACTACTTTGTTTAAGTTGCTTGATTGGTGCCTTAGAAAAAAAAAATATTTCTTATGGAAACAACACTCACTTTTCATGCAAATAACTTAGTTTATGTTGCTTATTTATATATTTTCAATGCTTCGTGATTTATGATTAGAACAAAATTTTCTTATAAGTTTAGATAATGTTGTCAATGCTTGAGATTTTAAACAATAACATAATACTCCATATCATAAGTAAAGTAGTTTTTATTTGATCTAGAAAATTTTTCATTAAAAAATCAATTGGTTGCTCATTCTAGCTAAGAACTTTTCCAATATTTACCCAATATGTATTATAGTTTACCTCAAATGATTTCTTAAAATTTAAAAGTGTCTGTAGAGAACCTTCAATCATCTTTTGTTTCACTAATTAAAAAGTGGATTCAACTTCATTTGTCTACTAGAAAATGCTCCATTTAGACACCTCATAATAAATTCAATAAAAGAACTAAAAGTTTAAGAGAACTAAAAGTTTCAAATGAATTACTTATAAAAAGATACAAGTCCGTGAAAACTTTAAGCATCATGAATATTTATTAGGGTTGGTCACTTCACAATTATAGATACATTAGATTGAACATGAATGCCATTAATAGACATAATAAAAACCAGAAAAGAGATAATACTAGTGAAATTCACATACATATACTTATTTTTTAAAGTTTTAAAAACAATCCATAGATGTTTCGAATGAGATTTCAAAGTAGGATTATAAATCAGAATATCATCTAAATAAATCATAATAAATTTTTCCATGAATAGTCTCTATACTTGGTGCATGAAATTCTTGAAAATACGCATTAGATAAAAGAAATGACATCATTATCCACTTGCATAATCTATGTTTTGTTTTAAATTTTGTTTTATATTTATCCCATATTTTGATTATAATTTGATGGTAACCACTAATGAGATCAATCTTGCAGAACACTTTTGAATTTGCAAATTAATCAACATATCATCTAATCATGGTATTAGAAACTTATATGATGCAATTAATAGTTTGTCTATCCATCACACACTATAAACCATTCTTTTTTAGGAACTATAAGAGTTAAAACTACATAATGGTTCATACTTTCTTAAATGTACTCCTCATCTAACTATTCCACAATACACCTTTGTAATTTTTTAGCTTTTTTTAAGTTAAGTTTGTGAGTTGATCTATTTAGGAGACCGGTATCCAAAATCAAATCAATATGGTGCTTGATATCTAGCATAGGAGGAAAACCCTAGAGTAAATCGTTTGGCATCAAATTTGCAAGTTCTATTAATATAGTTTGTACTTCCTCGAAACTAGGGTGTACATTAATCATTCACCCTTTATCTCCTTTATAAATATGATAAGGTTAATAAACTCTTTTTTTTTTAGTTTTCATCTTCACCTTCTCTTTTATAGGTGCCAACACTATATATTTTTTTTTATGCTTTGAGTGTGTGTGTATTTTCTACCATCATATACCACACTTCTATCAAACTATAATGACATCTTCAATAATATATTGCACGTATCCATAGACACCACATCATACTAAGCACTATAAAAATATTTTTATCTTATAAAAAAACAAAAAATTATTTGTTAACAATTACCTCAATGTCACTATTAAGCCACATTAGTTTATAAGGCTTAGGATGATTCTTAATCATCATTAGAAATTTCTTCATTATCTTTGTAGATACTACATTTTCATAGCTACCATGTTTAAAATTAGACTGCAAACTTTTTATTTAGTAGTGCACATAGAATGAAAAAAATACTAATGTACCATCAATCTTTTTTCTAAATCACCTTTGGACATCAATAAAATCTTTCTAATAATAAATATAATATCATTATCTCTGTGCAAAATATTTTCATCACTACCTGAATTATCATCATGTATAGGATTAGTCACACTCATTGTTTTCTTTATTAATAGGTTCTTTTTTTTTTATGACTTTCTACTTTGATGCATTTGCTAACTCAGTGCTTTAGTTCACCATATTTAAAGCAATAAATTTCAAATATAGAACCTTGAACCATCTTTTATTGATTTTGTTGGGTTAACCTAGGTTTTATAGTTATAGCTCTCTAAAAATTATTATGCCTTCTTTATTGTTTTAATTAGCCTAAAAACTTCTTCTAACAACTTGTTGCTTCTATACTAACAAAGCCTTCCAATATCTCTTATCAACTATTTATAGAGATTAAGAGATACAATACATCTTAAATGGACTACTATAAACTACTCAAATATTTCATCACTAAATATTCTTTCATTTATACTAAATCATTATAAACTACTAACCAGTAGAAATCAATAGTGTAATTATTAACAAAATTATCCTTTTATTTTAATATGTGAAGCCTTAAGTATAGGGTTTGGAAATAGCCAAAAATAAAAGAAGTGTTTTCTCATTTTCTTTTTCATCTTTTTTACTCATTAATTTCATTCTTTTCTTGAACTTTCCTTGCATCTTCTTTAACTATTCCTAGTAGGTAAATGTTTGATCTTTTAGTCTGATTGTGATTAATTTAACTAGTATATACTCAAAAATCCTCTTTGTATTAAAAAAATTCTCTCAGCTTTATTGAATCAACCTATGAACTTCTTTACTTGTAAAGTTCCATAAAAATTAGAGATTTTGATACAAAAATCAAAATCCTTACATCTGATCTCTTCCTGATTATGAGATTGTCTTCTCTGATCAAGTTTTTGGATTTCAATAATGGCTAAAAACCCATGGTCACTATCCAGGTTTTGTTATTATACCTCTTTCTTTTCTAACTTATGAATTAATTATGCAATTTACATTTGTATGTTTTTTATGATAAGATCCTGAATGTTTCACTCTAGAATGAAAACCTTCTCATCTCTTCTTTGGTTAGGCCTTGTTTCAGAACATTTTCCTATCATGATGGTTAATATTTTCCTCCCATAATTGTTAACAACACACAATAAATAATAAATTATTCATAAAATCAGAGCACACAATAAGCAATATAAATTTAAGATTATTGGACTCTTATATTAATTGATATAGATAGATAAAAAATAAATTTAATAAGTGAAAATAACTACAAATTCAAATTCTAAATTCATAATTTATTTATTTAAAAATAAAGCTTATAAAATTTATCTCTTTAGAGATTAATTTAGGACACCTTTAAATAAGTAAAAAAAAACCTATATTTATTGAAAAACATCTAAAAATTTGAAAGCATTAAGAAAATTACAGCAGAATCCAAAAAAATTAATAAAATAACAAAATTGAGCTAAATAACAACTTATAAGTCCAATCTCGAGAGATTCAATTTATTTATTTTCTATTGGAATGCGAGATTTAATCAATGTTATCCATGTTTTTTCAGTTGTTAAAGTGATTACGTGCTACTGTTTGATATTAATGCCTTGTTTTTGTTGACTTTGCTTAACAGGATGATTGATTTTTGAGCCTGGAAGGGATGTAGCATAGTAGTCTTTGAGAATTGGTGGTATTGGCTCGGCTGGGTTGGCGTGGATTGATAGCCACGGCGTGGTGGTTCGGAGCGGGTTCTTGCTAATAATTATCTGATTGGCTTGGCCAATTATTTGACAATATCGTTTCTGATTTCGATGCTTCCTTCTCAATGGTTTTTTTCAAAAAAATTAAAAAATTAAAAAATTTAGTCATATTGCAAATAAAAAGTTTCTTGAAAATGGTTACAAAATGAATAATATGGGCTCGATCCATATTGGGCCCAATTTTACATTGAACATGGGCCCGGCCCGATTGTTTCTCTTGCCCTTCTTCAGTTCCCTTCCGTTTAATTATTATATTCCCTCTTGTCTTAATCTCTCAATAGTTTGCTGCTGTTGCCTCACTCGAAAAACTTCCAAGCTCTCTAACAATTGTAAGAAACCCTCGCCCTCCCTTTCTTTCTCCTATTTGATGTGCTTGAGTTTATGTCAAAACAGGAAATCTTTCTTGGGTTTCTGATTTTATGATCTGGGCTCTAGTTATTTTCTTGATTTTCTTTTTAAGCAATTTAAAATATTGAACCTTTTGTTTCTAATATGCCGCTGCTATGTATGTAGTTTTTGCAGGAAGGATGTCAAGCTCAAACATTATCATGTTTGAAGATATTTTTGTTGTTGACAAGCTAGATCCTGACGGAAAAAAATTTGACAAAGGTATCTATGTCTTTAATTCTCCCTTAATTCTCTTTCTATAGCTTCTTGTTCAATGCTTATGTATTGGCTAGAAGAATCAACCAAGGCTAAGATTTTTCAACTTGAGTTCATTTCCCTTTTCGATTTCTGAAAAATCTTCACCTTGCCCCAAAATTGTGATTTTTCTTGTACTGGATTGCATATTTACTTTATTATATCCACGCTCTTGTCAAGTGTAGTGTGAAACACTTTGTTTGAATGATTCTGATGAATGATCCTATTATTGTAATAGATCCATTGTCCTTGGGTTCTTAAAGTAGAATGTTCCAACTTCTGTATTTATTTTTAGGCTTTCCTCGTCAAAACCAAAGAATTCAAGTGGGGATATCATGTCTGTTTTAAGTGGCAATCCCCAATTATGAGATAATCATATCTATGCTTCATCCAGTTCTCGTGTTAGAAAGACTTCCTTGTGACAACGGTATGCTTTTGCTTAGAAAATTCTGTGCTGTATTGTGCGTAACTATTTGGTTGGGAACTTGATGTGGTTGATCTGAGTTTACTACAAAATACTGCCTGGTAGTGTGGTCTGAGGATCTGGGACGTTGGAACGTTTTCTCTTAACTTTTATTATGCAATGAATTATGTTTTGAGTGACATGTTTTCATTTTAAGGAGATACTCCTACACACTGCAATCCTGTTATCGAACTGATACAAATGTGGCCATGATCTAGCTACTATTCCATCTTTGACTCTTGTGAATGAATCTTGTTGATAGCATGTTTGGAAAATACGTTTTGACTTCTTTTGAGCTCAACGTAGGCGCAGATTTGTAACTTCTTTTATTTGGATTTAGTGACCCGCATTGAAGCACATAGTCAGAACTGTGATATGTTCATGCACCTTGATGTGAACACTGATGTATACCCCATGTTCGTGAATGACAAATTCACAATGGCTTTGGCCCATACGCTGAATCTGGATGGGACACCTGACACAGGCTATTATACTCAGGTAATCTTGTTTTGTCATTAAAATTTTCCATTGTCTTATTTTATTGTATTAGTCATTTCCTAGTTCATGAATTTATAAATGCCTTGTGTCAGGGAGGGAGAAAAACACTTGCTGACAAATATGAATATGTCATGCATGGGAAGCTATATCAGATTCAAGAGGAAGGATCAAGGAGGGCAACTCGAACGTATGCATCCATGTTCAGAATTTGCATTTCTGCAAATATGTTCATTATATTATATTTATATAATTTTTCTTGATATTCTATTTATGATGACAATCTTTATTCATTTACTTGTTTAT